TATTGTTGCTAAAGCGATCCTGGGCCCTGTGCCCCCCGACCCTAGGCCATGTGCCCCCCGAACTAAAAAAGGCCCGGAGCTCCCCGAACCCTAAGCATGGCTCGGATTGAATGCTTTTTGAATAAAAAATGGTCTTGGCAGAACTTGGTACGCTTGGTACTTGGAACCAACAGGAAGTCTGATTCCAGGGCACCAAAACCTGTGTGGGACGTTGTGACGCCGTGTATAACCCAGAACAGGATTACTGGGTCTACGGAGCCCCAGCGTACGGACCGGGGATCTCAACAAGTCCTCTACAACTCAAGGAGGAACAGGGACCCATGTTGTCCAGAGAAGCGCTGCGAGACGTGCCGGAACCTGGCGAGCCGTGATCTAGGTGACACATAGGCGGCACCAGGCGTAACAACCAGGGGAACATGCCCTGCCCCGGACCTTGGGCGAAACGAGGTGAACCCACAGCACCGGGACGAACTAAGCGACTCCAGGAGCCATCAATCGTAACGAGCCTCTGCGGACTCATGTAATCTCAAAAAAAAAAACAAAAAAAAAAAAGTAGGAGCTGAGGTTTGAAAAGAGGTTTCGAAATTAAATCAAGTAAAAGGAGATGAAGTAGGAGATGAAGTTTCGAAAGTAAGGAAGAGATGAGGTTAGAGCAGAGGTTTCCAAAGAAGTTTTAATTCGAAAATAAGGAAGAGATGAGGTTGGAGCAGAGGTTTCCAAAGAAGTTTCAAAATTCAATTAAATAATAGAACTTGGAGACAAGGTTAAGATCAGTTTCAAAAGAGGTTTCGAGACTAAGTGGGCAGAGGTTCCAAAATCAGTTTCGAAATAAATCAATCAATTAAATAATAGAGATTGGAGATGAAGTATGAAGTTAGAGATGCAGTTTGCAAGTCAAAGCCAAAGAGATGAAGTCTCATCAAGCTATATATAGTAAGAGATGAAGTTGGAGATGAAGTTAGAGATGAAGTTCCAAAACCATATATAGTAAGAGCTGAAGTTGGAGATTAAGTTTCAATCAAGGATTGAAATCTCACCATCAAAATGAGACCCAGATCAGGAGATCTCATTGGCCGAAACACTTCATCAGTAGCCATACAGAAAGAATAAAATACACAGAAGATGAAAGTCCAAGAAGGCAAGATCTACATCAGAATTATTTTAAGAGCCTTCACACAGATCTACAGCAGAAATATTTTAAATCTCTTCAAATGGACCACATACAGAGCAACGACCGAAATATTAGAGAGATATTATTTTTAATATGATCATCTGAAAAAGCTACAGATCTTCTGCAAAAGGCTACAAGAATTCAAATCTGAGATTTGGAATTCAAATTTGAAGATCTACAATTCAAATTTGAGATTGTCTTTTTCCAACGGACAACTTCTCAAAACCAACTATAAAAGGATGAAGAATGAAGCAGATGAAGAGCACTTCCAGCACTTCCAACACAAGCAACGAACTGCATATATGAACAAGTGCTATACTCAAGTGATAAACACTCAGAGCTCAAAGAGAAAATATTCAAGAGTGTTTAATTCTTCATCATTGATAGACTTGCTGCACATTGAAGATCTATTCAAGAAGTCTCAAAGTTGGAAGCCAGTGAAACTTGTTTTTCTACAAACAAGTGAATCAACATTGTTGGAGAACACTGGACGTGATTAGTACGGGCTTTGTGATCAAAGCACTAGTTCACGGGATACGTCGAAGATGAGGGGAAAGTAGCACAGAGTTGTGAAATCCTGGATTGTCACACGGAGCTGTGAGATCCGAAACAGCAGTGTTGGAGAACACTGGGCGTGATTGGTGTGGGCTTGGTGATCAAAGCACCAGATCACGGGATACGTCGACCGGATCGTGGAAGACGGGGGAAAAGTAGCACGGAGCTGTGAAATCCGAAGCAGCAGTGTCGGAGGCACTGGGCGTGATTGGTGTGGGCTTAGTGATCAAAGCACTAGATCACAGAAATTCATTGTATCTAGGAACCAAGAAGTGGTGGATATAGTGAATTGCTCTTGGAGGATAAGAGCAAGTGGAGTAGGAGGATTACATCACCTCGCGAACCACTATAAATTGCCTTGTGTCATTTACTGCTTTATTTACTTACTGCTATCACGTGGATACACTTCAAACAATCACACAACTCGTATTTAATTATTCCGTTGCGTACAAGACTCTAACAATCTAGTTAAGAGTCTTGATCTCTCTATTGCCTTAGCAATTGTTGCATTCGCGAAAAGTTTAAAAGTCTATTCACCCCCCCCCCCCCTCTAGACTTTTACCACACCCCTTTGGGACCAACATATATTATGAGATAGCCGCAGACATTTGGAAGGCTCTTAAGAAGAGGTATTCACAGGCAGATCCTCACAGAATTGCTGAATTGCAGAATCAAATCTATAGGAACTTGTAAGGTAACTTGACTGTGAATGAATATTTTACTAAATGCAGTGCGTTATGGGAGAAAATGAATGCTATGCGACCTCTGATGGTGTGTGAATGTACTCCTAGGTGTACCTGCAATCTACTAAGTAAAATGCAGAAAGAAAGAGCAGATGATCAAGTTATTAGGTTCCTGGATGGACTCAATGATGAATTCGAGTCTATAAAATCAGGTGTGCTTGTGATGGACCCTATTCCAGATATGGAGAAGGTCCTTAACATGGCTTTGAAAGTGGAAAGGAAGTTTAATGGATCTATTCCACAAAGAAGCAATGAACTGGTTCAATCTAATGCTGTTCAGAGTGGACAGAATCAAATTCCAGATGAAGAAAGCCTTGTGGCAGTTTCAGCCTCTAATTTCAAGAAGAAATTTAATAACAATGGGGGGAAGAATGTGCCTAAGTGCACTTATTGATATTCTCCCGTTGGATCCCATGATACAAGGCTAAGAACAGACAGAATCAGGATGCCTATCAACCTTCAAATTCTTCTGTAAATCAAGTTGGTGATATAGGGATATCATCTGATCAATTTCAGAGATTGATGACTCTCATACAAAATCAAGGTCAAGGAAATCAATCTTCAACTAATGCAGCTGTGACAATGAATACCTCAGGGATGAAGGCTGCTTTCAATAATACCTCTGAAAGTCCTAATGATGGTAGTTATGTCTCTAACCTGCTTATTAATGCTGCTATGATTTCTATTGTTTGGATTTTGGACTCAGGGGCAATAGATCACATCAGTTGTTCCCCAGAGTACTTTGAAAGTTGCAAAATGGTTCATGGAGTGCTTGTAAAATTGCCCAATAGAGAGGCATTCAATGTCAGCCATATATGAGAGATCAAACTGGATCAAAACATATTAATAAGGAATGTGCTATATTATCCATCATTCACATTCAATATTATTTCTACTAGTAAGTTAACTAAGCAGATATCATGCAAAATCATTATGGATACTAATGCAGGTAATATTTAGCATATTCATGGGACAATACTTGCTTTTGCTAAGGAGAATGATGGGTTATACTTGATAAGTAAACCCCCAGTCAGAAGGCAGATCCACTATGTTGATAAGAGTGTTGATGTTCATTGTAACAGTTTGTCTTTACAGTTGTGGCACAATAGATTAGGCCACTATCCTATGAATAAGATACACTTGTTGAATGGAATAAAACTTGAACAACATCTCAGATTGCATGATTTTGCATGTGATGCTTGCCATTTTGCCAAACATGAAAGATCAACCTTTCCTATCAGTGACTCTAGGGCAGAAAAGTGTTTTGATTTGATCCACATGGATGTTTGGGGTCCTTTTGCCATTGCTTCTCTAAAAGGAGAACATTATTTCCTAACAATTGTTGATGACCATAGCAGATTTACATGGCTGCACTTAATGAGTAACAAATCAGAAGTTAAAGTGTTATTTCAGAACTTCTATCACTATGTTCATACTCAATTTTCTGCAAATATTAAGGTTGTAAGAACAGATAATGGGAAAGAATTCTTTATGGATACTTTCTATGCTGAAAAAAAGAATTGTGCATAAGTCATGTGTCTACACTCCCCAAAAAAAATGGGGTTGCAGAGAGAAAACACCAACACATCTTGAATGTGGCCAGAGTCATACAATTCCAGTCTGGAGTTCCCATGGAATTCTGGGGACATTGTGTTCTTCATGCCTGCTATCTCATTAATAGACTGCCTACTCCCATAGTTGGTGGGAAGGCTCCCTTTGAAATATTATTTGGCAGGAATGCAAGGTATGATCAATTGAAGACCTTTGGTTGTCTATGTTATGGTGATACTACAACACAAGGAAGAAGCAAATTGCATCCAAGAGCTAGAAAATGTGTGTTTATAGGGATCCCTGCTAATGTGAAAGGTTATCTACTATATGATGTCACTAATCAAGATATCTTTGTGTCTAGAGATGTTCAATTCTATGAGCAGATATATCCTTTCCAAGAAAAGAACAAGAATGTAGAACCTGACACATATCAGCTTGTGTTTGAGGAAGTTGATCCCTCAACACTTTTGATTCCATCCTTTGCTGGCAGAAAAGGCATTCATTTTGAATCTACAGACAGAGTTGATGAGCACCATAATGATGAAGGAGGCAGCCCTAACATTAATTTTGTTGATAATACATCATATAATGTTGATAGTGAGGAAAGTCCTGAGACAAATAATGACATAGTTTCAGAGGAAAATGCACATGAGGATGACAATAATCAGCAGCAACCTATAAGGTCAGCAAGGGTAAGAAACTTTCCCACTAGACTAAATGACTATTATTGCCATTCTGCCTCACATGATGAAGTACATGGCAGAACCTCTCCTCATTCCATAAGTAAATTTATCTCCTATGAAGGTTTAACTCCCAGCCATAAGCTTTGTGCATCATCCATTTCTTCTGTTTGTGAACCACAATCTTACAATGAAACAATAAGGCATGAAGCTTTGAGGAAAGCCATGCAATATGAGATAGATGCTTTAGTTGAGAAGAAAACATGGGTTTTAACATATCTGCCACCAGAAATGTCCCCAATTGGTTGTTGGTGGGTATACAAGGTTAAACACAAAGCAGATGGATCCATAGAAAGGTATAAGGCAAGGTTGGTTGCAAAGGGATATACTCTGCAATGTGGAGTGGATTATGTTGAAACTTTCTCTCCTATGGCTAGAATGACTACCATTAGAACTTTTTTAGCTGTGGCTGTTGCAAAGGAATGGGATAGTCAACAGTTAGACATCAACAATGCTTTTTTGCATGGACATCTAGAGGAGGAAGTCTATATGACCTTGCCTCCTAGATTCCAGAGTGACAACCCCAAGAAAGTTTGCAGGTTGGTCAGGTCACTATATGGCTTGAAGCGGGCCAGTAGACAGTGGAATGCAAAGTTGACAAAAGCATTGATGAATAATGGTTTCTAGCAATCTATTGCAAATCCTTCTTTGTTCACCAAGGCATCAGATACATCCTTTATTGCCTTACTCATCTATGTAGATGACATCTTGGTTGTAGGGATAGATTCAAAGTTAATTACTGAGCTTAAGTAGTTTCTGGATAAGGCTTTCAAAATCAAAGACCTTGGCTCATTAAATTACTTCTTGGGAATAGAGGCTTTTAGAACTCCCAGTGGTCTTAATCTTTGTCAAAGAAAATACACTTTGGAAATTTTGGAGGAGAATGGTTTCATGGATGCTAAGCCTGCAGAAACTCCTATCACTGCAGGACAAAAACTCACAAGTTTGGAGGGAAAACTGCTTGAAAACCCTGAAGTATACATAAGACTAGTAGGGAAACTTTTGTAATTGACAAGCACCAAACCTGATATTTCATATGCTACACAACAGTTAAGCCAATTTGTTGATAAGCCTAAACACACACACCTTGTTGCAGCACATAGAGTGCTAAGATACCTCAAAGGCTCTCCTGGAAAAAAAAGGATTATTCTATTATGCAAAATCCCAACTCAGATTACAAGGATTTGCTGATTCAGATTGGGCTACATGTGTGGAAACAAGGAAATCCATTACTGGTTATTGTGTATATCTGGGGGAGTCCTTAATCTCTTGGAAAACAAAGAAGCAAGCCACTATTTCTAAATCATCTTCTGAGGCAGATTATAGGGCCTTAGCTTCTTCAGTTTGAGAGATCCAATGGCTCTTGTACTTGTTGACAGATCTCAGAGTTAACCATAACAGTCCAAGTGCTTTGTTTTGTGACAATCAATCTGCCATTGCCATTGGAGAGAACCATGTTTTCCATGAGCGTACTAAACACATAGAGATTGATTGCTATGTGGTTAATGATGTAGGGGAAAGAGATGGTGAGTAAACGGGTGTAAGTTGTCGTTCTGCAAGGGATTGGGACTATGACACGTACTAGAGTGACAACTAAAGTCCTAGACACCAAAGTATTGGAACCTACAAGAATCCAAGCAAATTCAAATTCATGGTTGGGTAATGTCAACAATTAAAGGCTACAAAATCTAGTTAAGACAATGTAAATTAAACTCAAGTAAACACAATAATAAAAGATGAGCTCAAATTAGGGGGTGTTGCCTTCTAGATGCTTCAACAACTTAGGGATTAGGGGAGAACATCAACCAAATGAACATTAAGGCAATGCACAAGAAAATCCTAGCTTAAACCCATTTTCATGAGCTAAAGAACAAGGATTAGAGCAAGGCTTGCCCCACTTTCGTGGTGTATCAATTCCTAGCTCTTAAAGCACATAAGCATTTAGGCCCCCAATTCTTCCTTATTTTCATAGAAAGAAAATGGGATTTGAGAAAGGTGAGGCTTAAGTTCTTCACCCAACTTTCATTGTGGAGAAAAACTATCCAAAAGCAAGCTAATAAAAGTTACGTACCAAATATTAGCAAGATTCAACATAAAACCAACTCAAACAAATGAACCATAGGTTAGGATTCTTCCCCCTTATGCAATAATCACCTATTTAGCATCTAGATTGGCAATATCTCCCTAATCCGAGCCCAAAAACGGACTACTCACACTTCATAAGCATAAATAACAACAAAGCACAAGAAAATATCATAAACATTGCACAAAAGCTTAAGAAGAAGAGTAAGAAGCTTCTTTATTGAAGATGAAGATTTTGTGGTTGAATGCCACTCCAATCCATGATTACAAGCTTTGTAGATGAGTTAGAGATGAAATACTAGACTAATCTAAGCTAAGGAAATGAAAGGAAATGAAAGGAAGTGAAAGATATGTTTTTGGGGTCAAAAATCCCCTTTTAAATGAGCAAAAATGAGATGAGAAAAGTTGCAGAGGCCTTGCCACGGGTGTGGCCACAGGCGTGGATTCACCCGTGGCTAGAAAGGTAGTGTGTACTGCCCAGTGGCCACGGGTGTGGCCACGGTGGCCACCAGGCAGTGATCTTCCTGTGCACTACGACTATCTTCTAGGTACTTTTTCACCCTCAAAAAGTTTGAATTAGCCTTTGGTGCATGAATCAAAGTTGTAGCCCTTCAGGTTAGCTTTCCAATGACATAAGAATCACTTCAATTGGACATTTGTAGCTCAATATATGATCCAAAGACTATGACATCAACGTGTAGGTCGAGAATTGCAATGCATTGATCTTTTGCTTCTCTTTTGTTTTGGTTTTCCCAAATGACTAAGACCATTAAAAGCACCATCCTAGACTCCTTTGGAAGTGTTGCATCCATCTACATAGCATCATATTTGGCTCTCATTGACTCCAAATTCATCCAAAATACCTCAAAAGCAGAAATTGCCTGCAACTGTAACACCCCGAAATTTCGAAACTTTTAAAACTTATATAATAAAGGTAATTCCTCATTAAATCCCGAAATCAAACATAAGAGTATGGGGTGCTATGCCACACCTGAGCTAGAGAACTCAGGTGCACAGGCTAACAAACTAAAATCCTCAAATAATGTCAATACATAAGCATGGCACGCAGGACGAAAGGGAACTAGTTACTCTACGCCTTGGATCTCTAGCGCGCTCTGGGATCTACTCATCTGTGCCTGAAAGCCAAATATATCTGTTCAGCGAGAGATGCTGGTATCCCACTCCAACGTGTTGAAATACAATATAGGTATATGTATATATATAGATATAGGAAAATCATTTTGAAGCAAGAAGATATATACTTAGGAGACTCTAGCTTTAAAACCAGGAATAGACTCAGCAAATAGGGACGAGCACATTAATCAATGATAAACAGTTAAGTAGGGATAACATCCTAAGGAATACGCATCTAAGGTCACAGATCACTTTTCACTTCAATCAATCATCATACAAGCATCATTCATATCACATAATCATTGATGGCGCCACGGGACCAATCGCATGCCCCAAACATGAGGGTTAATGCATATAGTATTAACACGGCCTCGCAGCACCCTACCTCAGTACCGCGGTATGAGGGGAGTTGATCACAACCAACCCTTTGAGAACCGCTGACGAACTCAATGTCGGACCACAATCCTACACACCGCTGACGCGCACAGTCGGTGGACTGTGATCCCCTTTATAAGAGGGGACTTACGACCATACACACCGTTGATGCGTACAGTCGGTGGACCATAGCGGATCAAGCCCTACACACCGCAGAGGGACTCAGTCGGTGGGCGAAGATCTTCGAAGACTACGGCCCTACATACCGCTGTCCCATCACTCGGTAGATCGCAGCCAGCCGTAGCCCTACACACTGCTTGATTACTCAGGTCGGTGGACTACAGCCTTCCTCAGCTTATTGGCCCTACACACCGCCTGATGCATCCAGGTCAGTGGGTCATAGCATCGAGGCCCATGTGGACCGCGGCCCAAGAAGTGAATCAATTCGGCCTTTATCCAACTTCTGAACATCAGCTCAGGAACAATCCATTTGGCCTTCAGCCAACTTCTGAACCTTAGTTCGGGAACAATCCATTCGACCTTCAGCCGACTTCCGAACCTTAATCCGGGAACACCCAATTTGGTCTTAACCAAAATGGGGGATCATGTAACACATAACACATTGGAGCACGTAGTATCATATTGGGACGGAAAGACATATAAATAAACTTACGTGTGATCATTCACATGCTAAGAATAGTCCTAAGGGGTTCATACGACTTCCACCTAGGTCAACGGGTTACCCCGATTCAACTAGCATGCAATTCCTAAGGCTCTTTTAACCTACGAATGGTACCTGAAATACCAAACTAGACTCGAGCACGACAAATGGGGTCCGTTGGGACACCATGGGGGAGTGGGGAACATCAAACGGGGAAGCCAAAGACCCGGGGTGGTTAACAAACCAGCGGGTAGCCGATGGGTGGAGGGCCACCCGCCGGCTGCCCGCTGGAGAACTGTTCTAGGCAGCAGGTTGCCGGCGGGTAGGCAGCTGCCCGGTGGCTGCCCGCTGCGTGGCGGTGTTCTTCGGGTAGCGAGTAGGTGGCGGTTTCCCCTAACCCCCACTGACTCTTTTATCATAAATTTGACCCGGGATCCGTTGTGGAACCCGAAACCATGCTTAGACACTTTTAAACGCAATTGACGACATCACGTAGGTAATTATTGGATTAGAAGTAAGAATCACGTAGAACTAAACCTATTATGACTTCCAAACATAAACAACACCTGAACATGTGAATTCTCACCCAAATATATGTCAAGAACATCATAACACAAATTCCCAATCCAACCTAGGGCTCTAATCCCACCCAATCCATCAAAATCATATTTTATCAAGAAATATCAAGATTCGTCAAGAATCATTATATCAAATACCAAGAACTTCTTTTCAACATCAAGATCATCAAGATTATCAAGAATGCACGTAAATCATCTTATCAATCATCAAGAACATATCATAATCATAGAAGAATTCATCAAGACACAAGTATATAGAGGGAGGACAAGGAAGGAGATTATAGCGAAGAAAATAGGTTTTGTTGAGACATGGGTTTCCTCTTAGCCTTAATTAATTTCCTTGGCTATGAAGGGTCTTTCATTAAGATTTCTTCTTTCTTGATTTCTCCTAAGGAAATTCTTGGAACTTCTTATGTGGTGAGAGATTATTTGTGGTGTGAGTTCTAGGTGCCTCCTATGACCCTATATATATACCTAAAAGTCCTAATTGGGGTCTAAATGGTATGGGTTCTTTACTCCTATTTCCTATAGAACTAGGGAATTGATTTTAGGGATAGGGTTCATGGCTTATGGTGTGCCCTTCCCAATTAATTAATAAAATTTAATTCTTTCTTTTTGGGTAAATGATTAAATAGTTAGGGATCGTAACACAGGGTGTTACAGCAACTCTACAATTTATGCATCAAAAGATATAAACAAAGGAATTAAGGCACTTCTTTGCATAAAATCAAAGTGTTTGTCACTCAAAATATGTCTATACAAGGGGTAAAAAATATGGACATAAATGCACTTATCAGTTAAGCAGAAAGTTAATGAAGGAGTAGTGAAGTTATTTCCTATTTCTTCACAAAAACAGATTGCATGTGGCTTTACTAAAGCCTTGCCAAGGGTGTCTTTTGTTAATTTCCATGCTAAGCTGGGCCTTCAAGATGTTCATGCTCCAGCTTACGGGAGGGTGACGAAGTAACAGCTAAGCAGCAGCAACACATCACAGTTTGGAGGCTAGGGGCATTGATGTCTTTTCATCCCCTTTCATAATTCTGTTAAGTTTGTTATGTACTGTAGCTTATATAAGGGTTTTCCTTTCCCTTTTGTATCACACTTTTACCTCTCACATTCTCTATCAATAAAGCTCTCATGCTCAGTTATCTCCACACCACAACTCAACATGAATTAACCTTCTTATCAAGTGTTATCGATATGACTTGAAGAATTCAATTTGTTAAATGAGATCTGGATATATATTGGATGACAATTTTCTAACTCTCTTATTTTTCAACTATCACTTGTGTGTGTATGTGTGAGTATGTGTGTGTGTGTGTGTGTGTGTGTGTGTGTGTATGTGTGTGTGTGTGTGTGTGTGTGTGTGTGTGTGTGTGTGTGTATATATATATATATATATATATATATATATATATATTGTTGGCCCCGGTAGGGTTGAAAGAGAGTCTAGAGGGGGGGGGGGGGTGAATTGATTCTAATTGATTTTTCACAGAGACTCCTTTCAGAGTGATGCATAGCGGAATAAGATGTTTCATTTTAGAATAGCCTTGCACAGTTTCGTTATGAACTCTTAATGTTTGGTCGATGTGATATGCAATGTACTAAAGACAAAAAATAGTAAATAATAATGAGAGATAGAGAGAGAGATTTTTATAGTGGTCCGGTTGTTAACGAAGCGTATTGCACTCTTCTTTCACAATTTGTGGAAGGGTTTTCACTAAACCTCCTAGTACAAACTACTTCAAGCTAGCCTCCTTGATCACTAAGCTGGACAGCTACTTAAAAGGTTTTTCAACTCCTCGAGTCTACTCCGCCTCTATCAACTTCTTCCTTAGAGTTGAGTGTTGGAAAGAATGTGTTGAGTTTCTCCAACTGGTTGAAGTCTTAACTTGATGGCTGGATTAATCTTCAAATGATAAAACAGTGCAAGACTTGTTCAGGCTTGTGAAGAATAAGCTGTGTATGATCTTCCTTGAAAACTTCACAAACATAACACACTGGTTTTTGAAAAAGCATTATGAGATGATAATGATTTAAGAGCTTTTCTTAAGATAGCAACAATTGAACAACCAGCACCTTCTTCAATGGTGAAGAGTGGTATATATAGGTGGGGAAAAATTCATCCGTTGGAGGGAGATAGAGATTTCGAACTTATTAACCAGTGTGTATTTACCACTGGGCGTAGAGCATTTAATGTGCTTGTACTGTGTAGCCGTTGGTGTTAAAAGCATTATGGCTTTTATCCTTGTTCTCTAACAAGATGGTACAAGTCTTTTAATGCTCATTGTCTTTTGTGAAAATCATTCATAGGACACCTTTTGTCCCGAATGATTGCCCATCTGTGAGTCATAGATAACATTCTTATTGCTTCACTTAATGAAGTTTGTCTTTACAAGTTTGACTTAGACTTGTTTCCTTAGAGATCTTTTCGAAAGATTAACCTTATCTTTCGACCTTTCTCTTAGACGAGATATTTTTCTTGTCATATGATGCTTATATGAGAGTTGGAGCTTTCATCTTTCGTCTGCAACAATCTTTCGTCCATCTCGTTGTCTCCATGTCTTCAAGTAGACCTATTATGCTATCTTCAACAAGGATTCATACACTACATAGTGTGAATCATTTGTTGAGTTACAACAACTTTCGTTTGTAACAAAAGTCCTAACTACGAAAGGAAAAATAGGGGTCTACAATCTTAGTAAGTTTGGTATCATAAAAATCTAATTACACTTATTCTTAACAACTTCCCACTTTTGATGATGCCGAAACCTATACTCTTACTACAAGGCTGAAGGATATCCTTTAAAGGAGTTTTTATTACAAAACAGCCCAATAAATGAGTTTACATGAAGATCTACGAAAATTTACTAAAATTTAAAGACAAAATATACTCAAGATAGATTGCAAAATGAAATAGACTTTCATTTAGAATAAGCAAATTACAAAAGAAAGATACTGAAATTAAAAAGAGCATTACATGTTCAAATGTTTTTGCTTCATCTGTCGTGCTTCCTCTCGTTCTTTATCATCACGTTCCTTTTGATCCTTGAGCAGTTTCTTAAAGTCCAGATCATTGTTGACTAACTTTCTGAAGGTTTGGATTGGATTTGCTTGAGCTAGCTCTGCGTATTTCTCCGTCAGGTTGTAGCTTGTGTAATTGTTGTATGCCTCTAGGATGTTTTGTCCTAGTATGATGCCGAGGTTCCACCATGACACGAGCTCAATAGAATTCATTCCTTCTACATAGCTTTTGCCCGATTCTTCGTGTATCTTAAACACGACACTATACTTTGTTCCTGGGTCAACATCTTTCCCAACTTTCGAGAGATCTCTTATCTTTTCTTGTATTTCATGGGATCTGATAAGCTCTTGTTCTCTTTGCTTTCTGGCTTCTTCTTGTTCAAGCCAGAGAGTTTCATTTTCTCTCCTTATTCTTCCATTCTTCTTTCTCTGAAATTCTTGTGTCGTTGTGTTGTCTTTCTTCTTTAGCCACATAGGCAAGTTACATCCTTCAATACGTTTTCCACTGTCTTCTTCATACTCCTTGCACTGAACGAAAGTACCTGAGGCATCCACTGTCACCTTTTTCTGTTTCATTAACCTATTGCGAAGATTCTTCTTTTCTCTGTGAGTTTGTCCTGCAAATGAATAAAAAGATCTGGAGCCTTAGGATGAGCGTGGTCTTATGGATTGCTGACAAGACTTGGGTAGAGGTGTTTGATGAGACTTCGGTGCAGGAGGGGGTGTCTTGTATCTACTGTCTTGTCTATTCTCTAAGGTTCCTTCTCCTATTCTTTCAAAGTTTCCTTCTCCTCTTCTTTTGTCTTCATCATCATCATTTTTCTTGTAGCCCTTCCCCCCCCCCCCCCCCCCCTTTTGGCATCATTAGTTGGAGGATCATAGGGCTTTAGGAGGTTGTTAACCTTGGCAGAGAGATCTTTGAGATAGTTGAGAATCTGGAGTTGATAGTTAGCCATTGTAAAGATGTGGGTACTAGCTGTATCAATCTTCGAACAAGCTATATGTACTCTTTACTTGAGACCAAAATGGGAGTGCTTGAGCAAATGTTGTTCTTTGGCAATCTTGTCAAGCATATGATTTTGGTGACTAAAATCAGGTGTCTGTTGGCCTTTTTGCATAGAGGATAGTGTTGACAAAATAGTGGCCATCTGTGTGGACAAGTGATCCATCATTTCATTATCTTGTTGGCGCTGATCATTATATTTCGGATGTTGTAGCTTAAGAGCCTTAACCGTGTCCGAGAGAAGCGTTAGAAGAGCCTCAGCATCGATGTATTCTTCATAGAAGGTTGTTTGAATACTTTTCTCCTTTCGACCGGAGTCATTATGTCTCGCATGCGGTGATGCTTCCAGTTTGTCATCATGAGCTGATCTCAGACTCAAGTCGTTCCCTTCATTTGATGGAGTGTTCTGAGCATGAGGTGAAGTGTTGGGATGAGAATTGTTCGGCTCAGGAGTTCTTTCGGCAACCACCTCGGTGTTTCCTATAATGGGAGACCCGTCACTGTCAAGATCACTATCATTATCAGAATCTTCATCACTTTCATCATCGTTGTTCTGATTTCTATCATCATCTTCTTCTTCATCCTCATCTTCTTCTCCGTCATCATCCTCTTTATTGTCACCCTCTTCTTCTGATGTTTCTTCCTCGTTGCCATCCTCCTCTTTTTCCATTTTCTTCATCATTTTCTTCGTTTTCGTGTTCTCGTTGTTCATCATGCTGGTGTTCCTCTTCTCGTCTTTGATTTTCACTGTTTTTGCTATCTTCATTGTTGTCTTCTGGAGTTTTATTACAGGACCTATCATCTTTCGTTCCACTGGTGCTGCAGTTTAGGTCGTTTTGATGCTATTTCTCAAGCTCAGTTCGGATTTTAGATAATCTCATTGCATCCCGAAGCTCCCTCATTTTTGCTTCAAAAGCCGGATCAAGTGAGGGCTTCTTGATATCAAAACTTATCGGGGCCTTACCTTTTCCAATGCTGCGATTGGTTAACTTATACGAATAAGCACGATTGATTGTTTCTAGTCTGATGGCTTCGTATACGTCCTCAGTGCCAATCCATCCTAGTGCAAATTCCTCCTCATTCCTCATTTCATCAAAACTTTCAAGAAATAGGTTGAGAGGAGACGTACGCCATTTCTGCCATTGCATCACTCGTTGATAGTCACTATGTATTGCTTATTGAAGACGTTGATCTTGGGATGGTGGTGGAATTTGGTCTTTCTCATTGATCACTTCTTTCGTCTCTTCTGGCAAGCCAGGTTCTTGTGGGAGACTTAAGTGATCAGTTGATGGAAGAGTCATAGTTTCGTCCTTGTCCACCATAGCAGGTTCTTGTGTTAGAGTCGTCTCAACCTGCTCTGCTATAGTAGGTTCTTGTGGAATAACTTTCTCAACAACTGTTGCTTGGGCAGACTTTCGTTTCCTCTTCTTTTGGACTATGGCAAGAGCTTGTGAGAGTTCCTAGACTTTGGATAAATGAGCTGGATTTCCTTCCCCCTGGGCAGCAGGCGGGAGAGAATCTGACTTTGCTCCCCTAGGGGGTTTTGTAGCAAGCTTGAGCAGAACTCTTTGTGCCTTTTCTATTGTTGGCCTGAAGCGTTCCTTGGTTTGCACAGCCCGACTGAGTTCCGAACTTTCGTCCTCTGATGAGTTTTCAACTTGTGTGGAGTCAGATGGGGAGCTGCTATTTGCTAAACTTTCGAGGGAGATTGCTGCACTTTCTTACGCTTGCCAAGAGTTTTATTCTTGGCTTCATCTTCCAAAACTTTAGGTGTAGATGTCGCTTGAATATTTGCTGGTGAAGGCACAGAATTTGGTTCAGTGACGAACGTTGTGTCCTCAAGTTGCTTACATTCTTTTAAATTAGGTTTGGCAGAAGGATCGTTCGGGGATGGAACTGCTGTTGAGACGTCAGCAGTAGGTTGCTTAGCCTTTTTTCTCTTGTCTTTGTCTTTTCTTCTTCGGTTGATCATCTTCAGAAACTTTCTTTCTTTTGAGTTTCCTTTCGGATTAAGTGGCAGGAACAATTATTCCCATTTCTATCGCTCGCTGTTTGTCATAACCAGGAGGTTTGGATTTCATATGGCAGACTTTCAGACCAGGTCGAGCTCCTTCTCTAAGAGTGACTTTCTTATA